GGTGCTCCAGGTTGTCCAGGTATTCCTAAAAAGACCATTCATAGTTCTATTGGTAACCTTACTAAAGGAGCTCTTACCAGGCAGTCCAGCTGGTCCTGGAGGTCCAACAGGTCCTGGAGGACAATCGATTTTCATCGGTTCACAGATGCACCATGCTGGTAGCGAATGTTTCTTGGATCGGAATATGGAGGTGAACGGATTCCGGTGAGGTCTTGAGGGTGGCAACAATCGAGCATGTATGATCCTCATTTCGTTCCATGCCGAATCGGTCTCGAGACGAAATGCTGCTACTGTATCCATTACCTGAAAACCGCTATAAGCTCCTACTTCAGCGAAACTGTAAAGGACACTTACCAGGCCATGAATTTCGACGAGATCTCTGTAGAGACCAGGAAGTACGATGACACATGCGGTCAGGGCGGCTATGGAAGCTGCGGTAGCGGCAGTGACAAGCTGTTTCTCCACGGTCATAACGATGGCACTGACATATGACTCTCTGGCTAGACCTTAAATACGTGCTTAAACGTTTTGGTTTTTAATAAGCTTCATCTTTTTCCACCTTCCTCAATTGACAATAGATGGCAAAAGCTCGATTTGTGAGAAAAGCGATTTTTCCTGGAACCGCAACGTGTCAGCGAAAAACCTCCGAGAAATGACGCATAGCTCGCCTTTTTCCCTTTGGCTAGGCGTGACTGCAGGAATTTCACTTCTCTTGGTGTTCTATTGTTGTTTTATGTTTAATAGAAACATTACATAAAGCACAGGGCAGTATGTCGGTCCTGGCATGAGGGCGGGCTCAAGTTCACCAATGACTGGAGCTTCTACCACGATAAGGAGCCCGGCAAAACTGTGAGAGGGCAGAGAAGTTGTCAGGATATCTGTCAATCGCCAAACCTTATACCTCTTTTCCCCATCCTTCCCTTCTTTCCCTCTCTTTCCTCCTATATATACTCCTCTGTTCCCTCTCCATTGTTCTCCTCCCCTGGAATAAAGATGCGGCAAGAAATACTTCTGGGCTGCCGCAGCGAGAGGACATTCTGTTGACAGATGTTCTGTAACCACGGTACAGCATTATTGTGTGACACATGGGGCGTACTTGCCGCTGGGGAGGGGGCCTTATTTGGTCGTCTGTGGGAGAGGGAGGTCGTATGTGCCTTTTGATTACGGAAATTGCCTGCCGTTGGGAAACAAAATCCCCCCACCCCCTAAGTGGTAAGACCCCTCGCCAAAGTTCTAATTGACTACGTAATGTATTCCCGATTATTGAAAAATAGCAGTTGGTTGCTGACGACCTCCCCACTCCCCTCCTCTCGACGGAAAATGTTTGAAATTTTTTAGAGGAAAAGGTTGCAAATTTTCGAGAAATTTCGTAAAGAAAACTGGTAAAGGAAGCTGGGAATAGGAACGCTGCGCAGGTAGAGTTGGTTATAGAGAGGGCAGTCGTCACCAAGACTTATTGTTTAGGGCGGAGGGGGTGTCGTGCTGACACCACATTTCAGCAGCAATCACACCGATGCTGGACCTGCCCTGCACTGGTAACCTGGTCCATGCAGAGCGCGGCACCATCGCGTTGTGGTAGAAGCACAAGGGGTGGTCTTATTCCTGCTCCTCTGAAAAAAGGGGTCGTATTTCGTCCACTACACAGGAACATTTTTCTCAACGTGTTAGAAAATCTTCTCGGTTTCACCAGCGCACTGATTTACACCCTTTAGTTGGCTGGGTCGCAAAGTCGCATCTTCGTTGTTGATCGTCAGGTGTCTTACCCCCACGGCTCAACTTTCCCCATGATGAATTTCGGTGAACTTTGGCAAGAATCACGTAGGCACGCGAAGAACTAGGTGGTACCAGACCGGGAAAAATTTTGCTAAATTTTTTTACATCGTGATGGTTGCGTACCGGGTGATTACTAGAAGAACTCGATTCTTTGCGTGAAATATTGGTTTTTCTTAGCACATCTCCTCGTCCCTGCGGCTTAAGAAAGGCACGAATCGATCAGATTAAAAAGCAGGTATCGAAAAATATGGCGTCAGGAGGTTAGAGTGGTCCGACGAACAACCTTGTACCGGTTTCGCGGCAAAAAATTCTATGGGAGGGGCGCTGTAGCGCAATATAGGTTCAGTGGCTCCTCCTTTTTCCAGTGACTCCGCCTCCAGACTCCGCCCCTAATGACCGACTTCCAGTGGGAAAAATGTAGGTTGTGGGCAGGTACGATCGTAGAAATCTTATCGGTGAATCAGCCGTGCATATGAGGGCGTAGTTTTGGAGATAGAGTTGATTGGGCACGTACAAACTGGGATCGAAAATGCGGGTTCTATCTAAGGCAGGTGGGTTAAATGTTTTTTGTGCGTGTGTGTTATTGTCCACAGTCGAGTATCTCAAAGCACGTTGTCCGAGAGGTCTGGAAGCCAACCAAAATCCACCTATTCTGAGATGGCGAGTAATCGCGAGTTCTTCCTTTAATGTATGCGATCTGGCTTGTACAATAATTCAAGGGGTCAGCCGAGTACAAGTCAGTGTTCTTACCTCAAGACAAGTGTGATACAAACATACCCTTCCCGGAGGCGTAGGTGACTATGCGGTGACTTGGGTGGGAAACCTGATCCCGGGATTTGATCACGCGGACGCCCGTGCTTGATCGGTTGTGTCTGGCTTGCCAGCTACAAAACACCTCTGCCTGCCACTAGACAATCGATAGGGGCATAAACAAAACAGAAACGAGAAAATATGTGGGAAATTGACAAAAGTAGATAAGTAAAAGCTCAGACGCATATGGAACATGGACAGCGAGGCGGTATTGGAGGCAACGACTAAAATCGCTGAAGAAGGTGCTAAGGCACTCCGAAATATTCTAAGGACGTATAGTAAGCAATTTAATAAAATTTCTGGCAAGAACATTTTGGATTACTTGAGCCTTTTGAGTTTTGCAACTAATTTTTGGCGGCTTTGGCAACGTGTTTCATGTTTCAGATTCAATGAGCTCCGTCAGCACCATTATATTAAACAATCAATACTATTCACAATAAAGTAATCGCAAAGCCAGCGTCTTCCCGATTGGGTATTGGACATCCGTTCATGGGTGAATGAGCAGCACAACGACAATGCTATGACATCCGTACCGCCGCGCCCTTCTGCGACCTGCCTGTACGTACGTCCTTGGTCCGACCAGCCGAATTCGATCGAAGCCAGATAAATTCTTGAAAAGTGGATCAGACAAGTGGTGACTGAACCCATCCAGCAGAAACGCGGAACATTGTCTAGCAGCCTGATTTGGTCCAGTACAGTAATTAAATACCCGAATAAAGTATGAATCTTTGGCAAACGATAGGACAGTGTGACGGGGCGTGATTTGAGTCGCCTGCTATTGGTGGAGAAAGGATCCATCTCACGCCCCTTCACACGCCCTGTTGTTTCCAGAGTCATGGTTATGTATAGTTTCAAGCCTTTACGACCCTGAATGCAAGTCAAATGTATTAATATATTAAACATCTTGAATGATTATATCAACAGCCCGCCCCCTCACCACCACTCCACCCCTGTAATGTTAGCTCTTCGAGGAAATTAAATTCCTTCACGCTAATAGTGTACTCTGCAACCAGACCTGAATACCCTTCAACAAGTAAAGGGATTTCCTCACACCCTGCACACATGCCCTCCTTTGCCAGCGGGCTCGTTGTTGACACAGGCAGAAGTCGAGCGTACGATGGCACTACCAGTTTGCATTTCGGCAACATTGACGGCCCAGTGGATCCAAGTTCATTCGAGTCTTTGGAGACGCAACGGCTTGACACAGAACAAACAATAAGTGCGAACTGGTGCCGGCTTGAGCGCAACGTGATATTCACTAAGTTCATCCGGTCACCGAGAACTGTCGCACGATCGCACCTTTCACATGTGTTTCGTAACTGGGCCACACCTTCAGGCGCGCACGGCTTTCAAAGATTACTGGCAATAAGGTTGTTGAAGCTTCATGTAAGAAAATGTTTGGGTTGTATAGCGAGCGTCAAGAATTTGGGCCGCATTGGTAGCTATTTCACACGCAAGAAATTCTGCATAGCCTGTAGCTAGCACTCTCCGCTCCCCCCCCCGCCAAGGCCTTTAGCGTGCCTCCGATGGTACGGCTATTTATTAGGTTGTTCGGAAAGAAATGCGCGTTGAATTTGTCCATTTATTTCTCTCCTACTATAGAAGATTTTTAAAACAGTTTTGTCTATTAGAAAGAGATTTTTATTGTGCATCTTTTGATATATTTTTGTCTATGTCTACTTTGTTTTTTTGAAAAAAAGTTACTTCTTCTCTCTTCTTACTGCGTCGTCAAGGTGTCGAAACGACGTCGACAAAACTCCTCCACGACAACGCTCGTCCACATGTCGCGTCGTCCACATGTCGCGAAAATCACTTTGGAAAAAATTGAGGAATTGGGCTGGGAAGTCCTGCCTCATCCGCCATACAGCCCAGACCTGGCACCATCCGATTACCATCTGTTCCGGTCGATGCAGCACTCCCTGGCCGAGAGAAAGTTCACAAACCGCGAAGAAGTCCAACTCTGGGTGTCCAACTACTTTGAGTCGCAGCCGGCCGAGTTCTTCGAAAGAGGAATCCATTCTTTGCATAAACGTTGGCAACAAGTCATTGATAGTAATGGAGATAATTAATCTTGGTTAATTTCGTTTTTGTAATAAAAAATTCCTTAAACTCGAACGCGCATTTCTTTTCCGAACAACCTAAAAGTTTGCGTGACCGTTGACTTGTCTGTCTGAATGGTCTCCAGCTCAAGATACCCCAAAAATGGCCTAAAAGGCGCCACCAAAAGCGCTAGCTCGACACCCATGCCGGGCCTGAAAATTGTTGGCATTCACCCTGAGCAGACATTCAGTCGAAAGCGTCAGGGAACCAAAGAGGGCATGTTCTGGCGTTGAGGAGTAATTTTGCTTAGTGCGACTCCTCCCCCCCCCTCCTCGATTGTCCTCTACGGTACGACCTCCTTCTGCAACTGATCAATCATATAACCACCAGAAGGAGAAGCGAGGGGGAAAAGGGGAGGGGCAGACATCTCCGATCAGCTATCAGAAACAGCCTTTCGTGGTAGCGCTGTTGAGCGAGGTAGTCTTGGGAGGTCTTGTTAGGTACATACAGTCGTGCCAGGAAGTCTGAGTTTGGTGCGGCGTGCCGCCAAACTCAGCCTCTTGACACGCCCAGCATCCGCACTGAATGAGACTGTATATAGTGCGAGTGAAACAGGAAAAAAAGGAACAACCCCAAGAATTTTTTCCAGAAAGAACATAACCCCCCGAAACTGCAGCGGATCGCAGATAATTAGCGCATTAGGCTATGGTTATGCGTATTCGAAGATGTAGTTGATGTAGTGGGAAAGAAGACAGTTGACAAATGTGTTGAAAACCACGTAAAAGTGCCCTCCTTTGGTTCTGACGATGAAAGAGTGAGAGGCGGGAGGCACCGTGAGCGCGGCAGAG